ATGATGCAAGCAAGTAGTGAGTGGAAAACTATTCATGGTTCTTCTTAGGGAGGGGCCACAATAGCTTATCAATTTTAATATTTTATGCTATTATTGAAACAAAGTAGCAGCTTCATTCGTTCTCATCTTTGTCATATTTACTACTCACACAAAAGCTGCACCAAAAGGCACTAGCTATAACTTCTATCACTTAACAATTTTCAACTGAGTTTGTAAAAAAACCCTCAGAAACAATAGTGATTTGAGGATTTGAAAGAAAAAAGCATTTACTCAGGCACTGTACAAAAGAGCTTGCTGATAGTGTCAGCTGGTAGGGCACAGTAATGACCACTAGCTTTTATGTCTGCTTTGCCAAATGGAATTGGTTATAATACAATTCTGATCTATGCATTTACAAGAAGAGGAACTGAGTGCTCCTTTTTTTTTTGAGTGTTGCTTTTATCTTTCTGAGTAAAATACTTTTCATAATGCTAGTGGCCCTCCTATTATAAAAGCATGAATTTAAATTTATTAGGACAAGCTGAAAAATTGGTTTCTTATGTCAGAATTAGCCAAAAAGCCCTAACAACAGAACCTTTCTCTAAGGCAAATCCCTTCAAAACTAAGTTTTCTCCAAATTCTCATTGTTGTTATTATTAGCAACACAACAAACAATTTCAGTGTCATAGCAGTGTATTCAAAAACAGGGTAGAGGTATAGATGTGTATTTCTCTAGCTTTCTAAGTATCCATCAAACTGAAAGGGGAAATATGGCTGATAAGCTTTTAGTGAGTTCAGTTAAATGAGACACTCTTGAGTGTTTTGTTTTAGCATATTCTTCGTCTTTCTTTCCTCTCCTCAGTGTGAATGTTTAATCTCCACTGAGCTGCACTTCTTTTCCAATTTCCAATCCATTCACCACACACCCTATAACATAAATTGTTTATTTAGGATCATGTTAATGGCAACTGATGCAATATCATCTCACCGTGCTAACTATTACTGCTAAATAGAACAAGGCCAGCTGGCCCTGCTTGTCCATGCTACCAAACTGCCAGGTCATCCTTTAATTCACTTTTTTACTGTTCTACCTACAATACACATCCCTGACAGAAGATGGTAGTGCTCAGCAGTGTGGTGTGGGCCAGTCTGTAGCACCTGGATATGAAGCCTGAGATTATCTCTTGGACTTCTTACAGTAGTAAAGGCATAGCCATATTGGCTCAGATTCTCTTTAACTTCAGTGAGGATATACTTAATTTTGATGTGCCTTGGGTTGAAAGGAGGACCAGTGCTGCTAAAATAATGCCTAAGTATTGCCTAAGTCCCCTATATGCCCTTAAGGATTTTGAGGGATTCAGCTGAGTCAGTCACCCTAAGGAAAAGGAGATATCCCAGAGGAGGAATTTTGCCAAAATTTTGGCCTGAAAATTGTCAGTTACAGTCTAGAAAGTTTATATTTGAGAGTACTGGGAAAATTTTTTATTACACTGGCAAGAGTCAGATTAAGTCTGGATTTTAACATTAGCTGTGAGGATGGAGCTGTAATATTTCTTAGAAGCATTACAGAGAAATAATCTGCAAATTTCTTCTATAACTCTGGTCATGGGGATATAGCTGCAGGCAAGGCAGTGGTGTTTGGTGTTTCCCTGCTATTCCCTGCTACTTCAGTCTTGACATTCCTTTAGCAAAGGACTGAAAGTCCTTTTTTTGCTGTATCATGCTTGAGCTGGCAGTCAGACATTCACAATGAGATGTGAAAAAGACAACCTGGAGTTTGAGATGAGGCAGGGAAAAGAAAATGGAACAGGATAAATTCTTTGAACTGTAAGGCTGAAGGAGAAGCTGAGTGTGACATTCTGGATTTTGGTGCTTAAAGACTGGATGAAGATAGTCAAATCAAAGAGAAAACCCTGAGAAACACCAAAATCTAGGGGCTCAGAACAGCCCACCAAGGAATGGAATTGCTCAAGGAAAAATTTGTTCACCTTGGAAGCCATCCAGGTGTGCAAACAAAAGAAAGAGATAATGAAAGACAATGACAGTCAAGAAGGAAATTTACCATTGCTTCTGTCATCTTCGTGAAAAAGAGCTTTAGTGAAAGTAGGATTTGTGAAGTCCACAAATGCACTAATAGGTCTTAATGGTCCTGACCATCCTAATCTCATAAAGGCTTAAACTCTGGCCCTGACCATCCTGTAGCCCTGCCTGTGGCCCTGAAGTTCTATGTAGATTCATGCCTGGGCACCCAGAGATGCCCAAGCTAGGCTGCAGGCAGGCTAGTCTCCAGTCTTGCCTTCTGCTGCTCCTGACTAAATGTCCTGGACAGCCCCATGGCCTCACTTGTTAGCTAGCCTTGACTGAAGGAGTGATATTCATTGCTTGCTCTTATTTGACTTTTAAGTATAGCTAGAGTTGACAGGGTAATTCTGCTCTTCTGTTGTAAACCAGCACACATATCCTGAATCTTCATTACTGCTGCTGCGGTCCCCCCAAAACTGAACAAAGGTGAATTCGATTTAAAAAAAAAACAGCAAAGAAACCCCATGACTGGCCATGACTGGCTTTGCCCAAAATGACTGAAATATGTAACACATAAGAGCACAAAGCCATCAATAGTGTCCAAGGTTTGCTTGCAGAAGGAGGAGCCCAGAACCTGCAAGTTTGGCTAAATTGCTATTCCACACCATACACATAAATGCTGGAGGATGGGGTCTTGCTTTTTGTCAGGAATGACGGCATATCCCTGATGAGATGAAGGAATGGCCACCATCTTGCCTTCATCTCAGCAGCCACACAGAATTAAGTCGAGGTGGTGAACGCCTTTGGTGTGCAAACGACGTTATCTTTTGCATACTTTTGTTATTAATACTGCTGCAGTTACTGTACCATTGTTATTCCATCGAGGTTTGCTTTCAGTAAATTGTTGTCTCAACACACACTCTCTGCCTTTGTCCCTCTCTCACTGGAGAGGGCAGGGGGAAGAGAGTGGCTTATATGGGTTTAATTGCCAGCTGCTTTTAAACCACCACAATGGTTTTTACTACTTTTAATGCTCTACTGGGCTAGGAATAGAACAGCTTTTTAAGTTCAACTAAAAGTTTCTGTGACTCTTGAGTTCATGGTCATTTATTTACTTGAAATCGCCTTGGACTTACTATCTGTTCTTTAGGATGAACAGTGTGGTGAAGTTCAAAGATGCTGATATAGATAAAGATATAGATATTAGTAAAGCTGTCTAGGCTGTGAATGACAAATCCATCTGGGATGGTATATTCTAGTGGAAAAAGTCTTAACACTTTTCAGCAAGGATCTGTACTGATCCCCATTTTTTCAGTTGCTAAATGCACTATAAATGTAATGTGAAGTTAATATAAAGTGATTTTACCAAAATGGTAGAAGTGCACTCATGTTAGGAAAGTTCGCTTTTCAAATTAAAAAAATGTTTTTAAGTTCAAAAATAATGACAGTTAAAAAGTATTTCTAGCAATTTTCACAGAGAAACAATAAATATAAAATAATAATAAATAGTCAACAGGTGTAAGCTTTGAGGCAAAGTCTAAGAATAAGAGCCACGGAAGAACAGATTTGCATTTCCTTATTATTTTACCATGTTTATGACAATTTAATCTGAAAGTATTTTCTCATTTTTATCAGGTACAAGAATTAAATATTTCAGTTAAGCTGTCACCTAAATTTTACATCCACTAAAGATAGTTGACTGCGCAAAACTTGAATCAGTATTACAGATATAAACACTAAATTTTACATCAGACAAAATTGATTTATTCTAGTCACTCATTTTTCAACTTAACAGGAAACTACAATCACTAGAACAAGATTTTAAAAGCTAGTACTTAATGCATAAATCTATATGTGTCTCTGGCATGTTTTTCAAGACTGGTCATACCTGTGGTCTGTGACTCATTATGTAGGAAATCAAGGACCAGACCCAAGAGCAAAATTAAATTATCTGGTCATATGTGTGTTTCTTGAGATCTTCATCAGAACTCTTCTTTAAACAGTGGAGACAGGAAAATATCTAACACAGCCAGGCCCTTTTCTTAGAGGGAAAAGAACCACCCTCTGGCCAAGTCCAGCAGGAACCTACATACAGCTGCTTTTAAACAATCTGAATCTTACCTGTAAAGTTCTCAACTAAAATAAGGACATTTTTCAGAGTTCAGCTTCTAGCAGCACATAGCTGAAACTAAAAAGTAGCTTAATAAATTTGTCGGGATATTAAGGGTTTTTTTTCACAATAAGAGGTAGTATAGAAGTGTGCAGAGCTAAAAGAGAAAGCTTACTGATGTGGAACTCAAATGCAAAATGCCTGAGTTACACACCCTGTCAAAAAGCTCCCTAATGTCATCACCTATTCCAGTAATATTCAAATGTGAAGGAGAACTGCAATGAGAGGAGGCTTAAGTTACTATTTTTAACAAGGGGTAATTTTAAATTCAAGGAAGACATGAAGAATATTCTTACCCTAATATTTCAATCCAAAACAGAAATTATACTGTGAATTTTAGAAGAACTAAAAGCTCAGAATTTATGGGTTTTCAGCAACAGTGATTTTTATTAATGGTCATAATAGTATCAATGCAGAAAAATAGAATTTGTGACCATGCACTGTTGAATAAGGACCAAGAATTCCTGCTTGGTTACCATGGCACAGACAGGACATTGTGACAGCTCTTTCAGAGGTAGACATAGTTATGTGAATGTTATGCTTTTAAAACAAGTACTCAGAGATTTACAGCTTGAATTCACTTGAAACCGAAGCTGACCCCTGTGCCAAACACCCCAACACAAATATTAACCCAGGACTCCACAAGCTATACTATATGTTAGTGAGCTTGTAGGTAAGGTTTAAGTTGTTGATTTTGACTAAAAGAGCCATAAATTAGTTTAGGACCTCACATGTTCACCAGCTCAGATAAATAAACAGCCAACAGCCTATTTGACATGCAGTCTTTAAATTTACTTTATTTTCAAATAAAAAAACATTAACCCTCGACTGAGACAGGGAAGAGCAAAGCCTGCTGCTCCTGCTAGCCCTTGTAAGTCTTATTTCACACCAGACTGCATCTAAGGGGCTATTTATATCTTTCAGCTTGGATTTATTCTAGTTGATCCCTGGTACGTTAATGATTGTTAAGGAAACAATGATAAGGCAGCTGCTTTTGTAGGTGTTTAAGTACTATTGTAAAACTCCTCCATCTTTTTCATCACTATTCACCTCTCCAAGAAACAAGGCGCTTCACCAGCTGTAAGTCTTATGATTTCCTGAGAAAAGGCAACAATTGCTTGGGTAGTCCAGAAGCAGAGACAGGTTATAAATAAAGCACTGCCATAATTTTTATCAAGGCAGTATAGGCAGAATAAGCACAGCAATCCCCAGCAGAAGCTACTTGAGAGTTTCAACTGCCCAGGCAAATGCAGACAATGAGGCACTCTTTCAGTGTTTCAGTGTGCTCCTCTGGAAGCAGCTCTTGGCTCAGACAACAGTAACTATCATTCTCAACATCACCTCCTTTGAAAATACCTGTATGAAAAAAAATCTATGTCAAAGTCTGCATTTTCAAGAATTAAAACATTAAAAAAAAATAAGCACGCAAATTGTCTGCATGGGCAGCTTACCTTTGCTGAAGAGTTTATGCTGACCACTAAACACACAGCAGCTATGACTGCCCCAAACCTACAAATGTAAACATGAACTGGTTAAACTCCAATTCAATGTTAGATAAAGAAACTGAATGCATTTTTCTTTTTTTTTCCTCCATCTATTTTATTCTGAGACCACTTTTTTCTAATTCCAGTAACAATTTTCCATTTTTCTCTCTTCAAATTTTGCAACATTTGAAGATAAGAAAAAGAACCATATACTATGAATAGCATATATTGTGACTGAATTTAATCTAGGGAAAAATATGTCAAAGTAGTCTTCCTTTAAAAACAATAGAAAACTGGCACATAATATTGTTTCTTTTAAAACCATTATTTCTGTACCAAAAAGTGATAGGAGCACAGGAATCGCATCCTGACAGCTAACCATTGTGCACCACTACCAGCAACAAGCAATCAATTGCTAGAAGTCATAGATAAAAATCAGATCCTCCTAATTAAATGTTCCACATACTTAAAGGGAGATCAGCATATATAAGGAATAAATGGCAGCGCTCCAAAAAAGGCAAGCTGCCAAATAACAATCATAGCTAGTTTAAAAAATATCAGTGAAAAAGAAATCCTTGGAGCAAACCTAGAGACAAGAAATCCAAAGAATCATAGAATTGTCAAGGTTGGAAAACATCTTTAAGATCATTGAATCTAACTGTTAGCCCAGCACCAACATGTTAACAACTAAGCCATATCCCCAAGGGCCACATCCACAATTTTTTCTTAACATTTCCAGGGATGGTGTCTCCACCACTTTTTGAGTAACCTGTTCCAATCCCTGACCACTCTTTCAGTGAAGAAATTTTTCTAATAGCCAATCTAAGCCTCCCCTGGTCCATCTTGAAGCCGTTTCCTTTTGTCCTGCTGCTTGTTACCTGTTTGAAGAGACCAAGATTCACCCCACTACAATCTCTCTTCAAGCAGTTGTAAAGAGAATTAAGGTCTGTTTGAGCCTCCTTTTCCCCAGGGTAAACATCCCCAACTCCCTCAGCAGGTTCCCATTGGTCTTGTGCTCCAGACCCTTCCCCATTTCCATGTCCCTTCTCTGGAACCTCTCCAGCCCCTCAATGTCCTTCTTGCAGTGAGGGGCCCACAGCTGGACACAGCACTTGAGCTGTGGCCTCAGCAGTGCCGAGTACAGGGGGACAATCCCTGCCCTGGCCCTGCTGGCCACGCTACTCCTGATACAGGCCAGGATAACACTGACCTTCTTGGCCAGCTGGGCACTCTGCTGGCCCATGTTCAGCAGCTGTTGACCAGCACTCCCAAGTCATTTTCTGCTGGGCCGCTTTCCAGCCCTTCCCCCAGCCTGTGGCACTGTCTGGGGTTGTTGTGACCCAAGTGCAGGATCCAGCACTTGTGGAACCTCACACAATTGGCCTCAGCCCACTGATCCAGCCTGGCCTGATCCTGCTGCAGAGACCTTCCTGCCCTCCAGCAGATCAGCATTCCTGGCCAGCTTGGTTTTGTTTGCAAACTTGCTGAGGATGCACCTGATCCTCTTGTCCAGGTCATCAGTAGAGGCCCAAATGCAAATACAAAGAGAGAAAATGAATACTTCAAGAACTACTTCCTTTCAGTGCACTGCTTCCAAGCAGCAAATTAACTTTGCTTTAATCCTACCATTCCAAGACACAGTATTTGGCCTCTAAAGGATCTTAGGGTTTTTGCCAGCTCCCTCAGGAGCTCAGATTGCCTTAAGGAAAGTGAAGGGATTGCAAGGCCTTTGAAGGAGAAACGGTCATTGTAATTAATATTTTTTTTCCCATGATGGATCTGTGTTTATTGTGGGAACCCAAAGGGATCTCCCACCCATGGCCCTACAGGCCCTGTGTATAATCTCAGAGAAAAGCTCGTAAAGCAGATCAGAAGAGGATTGTTATGGATAGAGGAATCCCTGGAGAGAGCACACTCCAGACCCCATAGAGAGTTACTATGCCAACAGAGAGAAGATCCTCAAACAGATTATTTCAACAAACAGGTAATTTTTCAGCTCATGTAAGTGAAGACCTAGCAAGGTTCCCAATTAGTCCAATAAAGAGAAGACACAAACATAAGTCCTGTTTCATGTCAGCCAAATGATGCATAATTCCCAGAGAGGTAACATGGTTTCTATCAATATTTCTGTGGTTTCAAATAAAACAAGAAGTTGCTTTTTCTGAGCCAAGCCATTGTTCATCTTCATTGTTCTTGGTGGCTTTTCAATAATTGTCCTCTTTGTAAAAAAATTATTTGTCACAAGAGGTGCTATATTCTGTAATTAACAACACACACTCCAACAGGGAAAAGGAAGCAAAGCAACCCTTTTGTTTGAAAAAAAATTGTCTTAGCTCACAATAGTATAGAACACACTCATTCTCCCACCCCATTTCCCCTAGTCAAGTAGGAAGTAAAAATGACAATTTTTTCTAAGATGTAGCATCTGTTTTTTGTATATAATCCATAAAAGTTTTCCAAATGCCCTTTAAGGAGTCCTAAATCTTCTACAAATTTGAGTCCTCTATAAATCCTCTGTTTCTTAATCTCTCTGACATCTTATAATGGACTGGTCTAAGTAAGAATTCCCATATGTCATTGGCTTGGGCAGGAGGAGGTAAAAGAAAGCAAGAGAAAAGGGGAAGTTGCAAAACAGAAAGAGAAAAGAATAAATTTGTATTTATATGTTCTGAGTTTTTTAATTAAACAAAAAAAAAGTTGTAGATGCATGATGGTTTCATTGTATTTATATGGCTTTCCCAAGAGATTCAACCATTGTTCAAGTATTTTATGAGTAAGTTTCCCCCATGCTAGAAGACTTGAACCACAAAGACAATAAGGCTCATGTCATCTGACATAACTATCACTGGATCCAGCTTCACCCTGGCATTACACCTTGAGGAGTAATCTACTCCATGCAAGGTAAATGCAGACAGCTACCTCATTTGAATTGTGGAATTTCCCACCAAATTTTCCCAAGGAAGGCAGCATTGTATAAGAACAGATTTCAAGATCAGGATGTGTTTAATTATTTATCTCAGAACTCTGCATGCCTTCAGGCAGATTGTTTTTTTCTCTCTGAATAAGGCTAAACAAAATCTTATCATACAAAGAGAGAAATGTTATTAAAGCTCCTGCTACTTGAATTCCTAATTATTTGCTTAAACGAGCTTTCAGCTATTGACTTGTATTAGCAATTTCACGAATGTCTTCCAAAATACAATGCTAACTACAGGCTTTTCAAACGTGTAACACCATTGGGATGAGGGGAGAAGTTCACTTAGGCACAGATCTACTTTTGACAGTTCTGTAATCAGAATTTGGGTAATAAACCATAAAGTGTCTTTTGGGGAGAAAGGCAGCTAGTAAAGAAAAATCAGAAGCTGCAAGACTCTTTCAAATGATGCATTTGCTTACTAAATTATATTTTTTAAACCACACCCCCTCCTTCATATTCCAGATCTCCTCATTTGCCTACTAATGAAGTAAACTGCATAGTAGACAGGTCTTTGGAGACTAAGAGCTGGAATACATGCACCAAGAAGCAGAGCACTGCCTGGAATTTCAACTTCATTTTGTGGTATTTCCATGGGAGAAATTACTAATGGATACACACTGGTGGATGCCTTAGGTCTGTCCCTTCTATTACCTAAGGCATGACCCAGGAGCACCGCCTTGTACATAGTGGCAGTACAGTGTGGAAATAGCTTTCCCTAAGGAAATCTCACTAATAAAAGGCCTCTCTAGATGTGTTGCTAGAGGGATGACAACATATGCCGTTGTGGAAGAATCCTCTAATGAGAGCCAATTATGCCTTATATAACAAGAAAAGTGAACATCAGGTCTGTACCTTGTCTTTGCAGTTTCAGATATCCATTCAGTGATTATGAAATAATAGCAGCTAAAAACATTTCTGTTAAAATAACCAGATGAAATTTTACACACTTACTCCTCCACACTGTAACAAAGAGTAAGGAATAGTTATATTATTGGCAATGGAGGCCTTTCTTAGGTTTTCTTTCAGTATGTTTGCACAAGCTGTATAAAATCATAGCCAGCACTCTGGAAAGCTTTTTCTTTCATTCATGAGAAGAGAGCATGCTGGTCAGTTTTTTCTAAATGTGTAGCAATTAAAAAAAGCTGAATTTCTAGGACTGACATTTAAACATTACTTTTCAACATAAACTTTGCACTGATGACTGGCTATCTCTGTTCAGGGGCTACACAGCAAGAATGTTATGCAGCTTGCTTTCACCTTAGTTTTTTTTGCCAACTGGTAAAGACCACATACCAAGAAATCCATGGGAAAGCCTTAGTGCCAGTGTGAAATGTCTCTCACATTGCAGTCTTGCATTTTGATGTGGGATATGTGAAGCCACCTCGATTTGCTCTAACTTTTTTAGACTCTGCATGTGTCGAAACCTCACAGTATTTGTGAATTTCAAAGTAAGCCTTGAAAAATGAGTAATGCGTACATTTTGGTATCACACCCTACTCATTCCTTTCAGACACATACATTTTTGTCTAGTTCATTTCTGCTCTCCACCCAAAAAGTCTGCTGTTGCTAAGATCATAGTAATTGCATGTCAGTAACAGTATATTTCAACTTAACTGGTCAGAAAATAGGAAAAATTTCCATGGATCTGGCAAAAAAAATCACTTAGAATTTTTAAAAAGAAGCCTTATGAAAGCTTGCACAGAAGATCATATTGGAGCATTTTAAATTTGCTATTTATATTGTGTTTTTATTACTAAAGGGCAACTTTTTAATCATTGAAACTTTCTGTATAAAATTATGCTAAGTCAAAAGACATCTTCATTTTTACCCTTTAAACAAAGAAAACTGAATAATCTAGCATTTTAAAAGGTATCTTGCTTCATGGAAAAGTTAACTTGTTCAAATTTATCCAATTAGAATACTCCAGAGAGTCTTTGTCTTGCAATTTTCAGTGGAAGAGTTCTAAGAGTGAGACAGAACTTGCTCTCTGAAAAATTGATTGATTCAGGCTCTGTACTACTCTAACTATACTTCCTGGCTTCAAGCTC